GGTTTTGATTTTAAGTCAACACAATAAGAAAAGGCTTTTACAAAAAAGATAACTGCAGTCTCATCCATTCTCAAGAAAAAAACAAAGAAAGAGCATCCACTGATTTCACTTGCTTTACACACACAAAAATGTAATGCCAATTCACAAATTCCTTATCCAAGATTCTATATTTTTGTCTCTGATAATCATTGAATTGGTGGCTATACACACACAAAGTGAAGACGAAAGAAATCCAAAGAAAAAGGGAAAAAAATTCGAGGAAAAATATGATGTCGAAATTCGATCTCCCCGAGGAGATGTTGGAAGTTTTGCCGTCGGACCCATTTGAACAGCTAGATGTGGCCAGAAAAATCACCTCCATTGCGCTGTCCACACGTGTCTCCGCCCTCGAATCGGAAGGGTCTGTTCTCCGGCAGCAGCTAACCGACAGGGACGTTATCATCGCCGACCTTCAGTCCCAGCTCGACTCCCTCGACGCCACGCTGTCGGAAACTTCCGACAAGCTCGCCCAGGCCCAGCAAGACAAGGTCCGAACCATACCCAATTGACCCCTTTTTTGGCCCAAATTTATTTTTATTTTTATTTTTTTGGGGAATTATAGGAGAATCTGTTGAGGGAGAATGTGCAGTTGAGCGCCACGGTGAAGAAGCTGAATCGAGATGTTGCTAAGGTAGGTTGGATTTTGGTCAAACAGTTCGATTTCTTGTTCATGTTTTTGTCTGAATATTGAAATTGTGGAAGAAGCCAATGGTTTGTTCCTAGGTAGTTTTAAACCAACCATGTGTAGGAATCTTAGTTCAGAGCAACAAAAATGTTGGAGGGCCATACTTACATAATTCTATATATATATTAAAAAAATTCAAAATGTTTCTCCTTGCTCGGATCAATTCTCGATGTTACTCATTTTATAAAAAAGATTTTGCAGGTGTCAAGCTTTTTGATACACTAAAAATAGCGTATACATTAAATGCCTTGTTCAAACTATTATTTGTCACTGTGTATGATGGAAAGCAAGGGTCATTTCTTGCTGAGGATTGATTCAAAATAGCTAATTACTTTGCTAAGAAAATATTCAATAAGCTAATATAATGACCACTAAAATATTACTTTCGATGTTTGGATTGTTCTTAATTTAAGTACAGATAAGATAAATAGATTCACTTAAAAGAAAAAGTGAATGAATGAATTCAGGTTATATAAAAATCCAAGAATCAAATGTGATGAAGGGATTTTTCTTCTCCGTTGACATGATTTCCTGACTTAATTTTGTAAAGACAGGTTTGTATCCCTTTTGAAAATGTCAATTCTGAGACAACTAAAAGTTCAATTATCTCTTTCTATTCTTACTTATTCATTGAATAAAACTAGTTCTATACCCAAACTTTCTTTTTACCAAACAACCTAGAACATGCTCTCTAAGTTTAATTTAATCACAAGCATTTAATTGAAAGAGACAAGAATTGAATCAAGCGCAAACACACATGCTTGGTTTATTACATTGAGTGATAATCCATTTACAATCAAATAAAAATATCCCATAATCTTCTTATGTGCAATCACTACTTGTATTTGAAGGAATTTAGCAATTATGGACTAAAATCTCTAAATTATCATGAAATGAACCAACATAATCACTTAGTTGTACTCCTAAATAATTAAGAAGGCCAAACTAAAAATTCAATCAATGGATTAAACACATAATCAAAAGGGATAAAGAAATGTGTACGCTTTATTGACTATAAATCATGTCTGGGGTTTAGAATCACCCTTAATCAACAAAATAATTTAGTTACCCATGGAATACAAACTAAACTAAAATAAAATCTATACATGAAGTAATAAAGAGGGAAAGATAGGAAGCTTAATGAAGGTAATTTATTCTGGTTCCCACAGTTCCTGAAATTACTGCTGAGTCTGCATTTTTTTTCCTCCTGTCTTCCTCTGGTCCTCCTTTTGAAAATTCCTGCGATCCTAGTTTTTTTCCTCTCTCTTCCCCCCGAGTTCTAGGATTTTCCTGTCCTGTTTTGATGATAAGAGTTCTCAGATTTTGAACCTTCTTTTTATGACAGAGTTCTTAGATTTTCAGTCTTCTTATCATGCTAGAGTTCTAGGATTTTTTAGTCTCCTTCTAATCCTGGAGTCCTCATCCTATTGAACAAAAGAGTCCTATTTAAAAGAAATTTTGTTGCTTCTTGATCAGGTTCAAAAAGGGACTCCAATTATTTCCTAATTGCTCCTTTTTAACTTCTTTTTATTGCTTTTCTCCAAAATTCCTACGAAATGTAAAACAAAGCTAATAAAGAATAATACTGAG